AATTGTAATAATAATATTTTAATATTTAATAAAATATTTTATTGTGATTAGACGGTTAAAATTAAACAATTGGAACAGAGATGTTTGTTTGTCTCCAATGTAAATTGGAGTTTCTATCATTTTTCTGTCAATCTGTTGAAGACTTAAGCCATTAAAACCAAAAAGGCAATTCTCAGTTTAAATCTTTCGCGTATATTCAGTTTCCTTGCTTATTAATAGCTGGATTTTTGAAACACGAAGTAATTAAGACATTTTCAATGTTGTAAGACAGTCGTTATCAATTGGAGATTATGCCTAAGGGGTCCGCGAATTGAGTAGATCCTACACTTTTATTATTTATGGTGTATTTATGCAAGTTTTAAGTGTTTCGTAATATTTCTTTTGTTTCCACGTTACAATAAAGAATGTAACAAAGACAACTATACTATATACCTACAGTTTATTCGATTTCTGTTCAACTTAACCAGAATTTTTGGGATAATTTTGGGGACGTGTCCGCGGTACCAAAGATGCTGCGAAAAGTTGCTGAAAGGGATTAGAAATACCGGAAGTTGGAGATTAAATTCGGGGAATCTCTGCTTTCATTCAGTTCTGTTCAGAATCTTTTTTTCCCGATGTGAAAATTTTAAAGTACACTAAATGTAATGTGATCTGTTATTTTTGTGAGTATGAAACTTGGTCATTTGCCACAAAGTAAGAACGTAGCATGAGGGATTTCGTGATATGTTGAGAATATTTGAAACTACGAGAGAGGAAGTTAAAAGGGACGGTAGAGATGCAGCGAACAGCTTCAAAATTTGCGATCCATCGCTCACGGACGGGACTGAAAAAGCTGAATAAACGTTAGAATTTTACGTTCATCGATATCTCTGATTTTCCGTTTTAAATTATGAAAGAATGCTCTTGTATACATATACAGGCCTTTAATTTTTATAATAAGTTACCTATTGTTTATGTTTCAGCGTTGTTATTCCAAAGTGTCCCACTGCTCCTTGTTAAAAACATATTCAGGCCTAGTGCGTATTCGGAAAGAAAAATTATGTACAAAATATTTTCTGCTTAAAATAAATAATTCTAGTGATGGTCATTTTGAGTTGTAACGTCACGTTTACTTGGTAGATACCAAAGTTTCTTAAGAACTTACTGCCTCCATCTTCAGGACCCTGAAAATGGAGGCAGTGTGTTCCGTTGAAGCATTGGTGTGTATCTAACTTCAAATTGATTCGGATTTACAGTCTAGAAGATAAACATGGACGTCTTCATCACCGTGAGAAACTGAGATCTCATCAAGGAAATCGGTTTGTAAGTGAAATAATACAAAATTAGATTAATTATTCGTTTTTTGTCCGTCTAATAACAATTATATTTAAAATTTACAAATAAGATAATTAAAATATAATTTTATGTTCCACATCGAATAATCGATTTACATTTGGATGTGGAACATAAAATGATATTTTAATTATCTTATTTGTAAAATTTTAAATATGAATTGTGATTAGACGGAAAAAAAACCGAATAATTAATCTAATATTTGATTCACAATATGACGCAATTGTACTATCTTACAAAATTATAATTTGCAGTGCCCAACGTGAAATTCAGTGCGCCAATTGGCGTTTTATGTAGGCTGTACCCAACCCATCGTTTGTTTGTGTGTGTCATGGATGTGATTCTTCTGCATAAGAGTTTCTAATTGAGTAGGCCTATTGTTTAAATCCAGGTGTTCGTGCTAATTTGTGACCTGGTCAGTAGGCCCTACTGTTCTACGACGACAACTTAAGGCACTAAAAGACCGAGGTTTATGTACGACTACAGATTCTGGTGCCAAAGTATCGTCTAACTCGACTCATTTCATAAACTTAAATTAATAGGCCTAAATTCTGATATTCCGGGAACGTGGTCAACGTGATTAAATATCAATTTCGAAAACAAGATCCCACACGGACTTCGTTCTTTGAAAAGGATTCTGCATCGTCAGTATCAGGTCACCGCATTCAATATTTTGATTTGATCTATACATCAAGGCTGTGTTTTGTCACGTTTTGTCACGTTTTGTAACCAACTAGGCTATGTGACTCATCGGTGAAGTCACTTTATACGTAAACAAAACAACTGACTTTGTGGTGGTAACCATTCAGCCCAAAACGTTTGAATTAGGCCTACCCAGAGCAATCATTCGTCGTTGTAGTGTTCAGACCACAACATGAGTACGGACTATTGGAGCGGCCCTGTTGAAATTGTTAGTTAACACTGGGACCGCCCGAGTCTAATTCCAAAGAAAGTGTCTGAATACACGAGTAGAACCAGGAATCATATCAAATCGGCTGGAAGAAGGTTAGAAACCCCTCAGAACTATCTGAGGGGTTCCTAACCTGTGTTATGTTGCGGAAGGGACTTGCAAACTACGGTCCGCGGGCTGGAAGCAGCCCCTGCAATGGCCTTCTAATATAATAAATAACGAAGCTTTTTATTAAATTTTACTTGCTGTGTTTTGTAAAAAGTATATCGTGGTCGCCAGAGACGATGGTTGGAGGTCAACGGCGGGCCTGTTGCTAAGTTAGGCTACTGGGCCCATGCCTTAATCCGAAAGAACCCGCTATAATTCGAGACAGCGTCCGATTAGAGTTTAGGGCAGCCTACGACATATGAACCTAATACAAGCCTAATTCTGTGTATTACGAATTTACTCGGTCAGGACGACTTTGCAAGCAATTTCGAAGCCCTGGATTTTCTTCCGGGGACCTCCGACCCGCGGTCTCTTAGAACCAGCGCAATGTGGTCCCCGATTAAAGCAATTGTCTGTCCCTGGTTTAGAGATTTGTTGCAATTGAAAATGGAGATTTGATTCATACATGTCTGGACAGTGAAATGTTTGTCCTTTCAGTGTCTCATTAATTAAGGGACGCTCGGATGAGTCTTTCTGAAAGTGACTGTACACATTTCGTTAATAAATCATTGTTTATCGAGAAATGTAATTATGTTCACTTTCAAAGTGTAAATTAAAGTAGTGTGTTAGTGTTTTAGCTAAAATTCTGCACTGATCTTAGTGGCAGCGTTTTGGGTATCGGATTGCAACACTCGGACGTTTTTGCCGAAACGGCGTGTACGGGCGTCGTTTAGTTATCTGGCTTTAAGGATTTCTTTGTTTCCGAAACGACTATAAACAGATCACCGACACTTCGCGTAATCACAGGTACATTCCCTGCTCATAGTTTCAATTTGCAGAAAACCGATTATCGATAATTAGACGCGGCCTGCGATGAATATCGTTGACGGGATGCAGCTCGTCGAAGAGATCGTGGCTCTTGGCGACAGGCAAAATGCACCTCGAGTCATTTAGCAGAATGTGCCAAATGCCCTACTATTAAAATAATCAACTGAAGGATTACGAGTGGCGTAGGGCGGGCATGGAGGAAATTACGAATGGTTGAAAGGGAGGGAACCGCTCACACTACACATGTATAGTGGGATGATAATATTAAAATGGAGGAAAAGAGACTTGGACCGTCAGCTACTGTGAACCTAACCTAACCCACCTCAAGATTCCACAAAATCTGGGGAGTTTTTAAAATAACTAAGCAACTGTTAGCGAAGAGTCGGTGATTAAGCTTGGCCTACGTCGGGCGACGCAAAATAGCCTAATGTTGATTGGTTTAAAGTCTATTCATCTGCGTAGGTTCTAATGACTATCAAATACGGAGCAGTGAATTATTTTCATTTTCCAATCGCTTGAGCTCTGTACTTTCTATTATGTATTTGTGACTAGATAATTACGCGCCGTTATTACAACACACAGAAGAAGGAGTCGATTCTCTGACTCGAAGTCGGAATTGATTTTGTTCCCTCGAAATTATTTCGTCTGTATTAAAATGTGGGTAAACAAAATGTCATAATTATTGTGTAATTATATACAAATTTTGTTCGTTCACAGAGTTCAGTTAGCTTACTAGAGCGAATTCATTTCCGTAAGTAACTTCTTCTCAGGTGGACTTTTCTCTCTTGTCTAGGCCTATTTTGAGTAAAAAATGTAAATATGTCAAGGTGGTCCAATTTCTTTTACAGAACTTTGTTTTAAGTTACGTTTCATTGCCGAAACTTCAGTCTGTCCGATGCGATTTAGTAAAAAAAGAATTGTAAAACATTAACGCGGACCCCAGTTGTTCTGGTTACAGGAGGGACAGAGGTCAATCTGCCCCGCTCGCAGTGAAAAGCAGATTTCTCCCGTCAGTTGCTCACAAAATTTAAGCTTTTTTATGGACTAATAATTGTTCGTTCCGGAGCCCGGAAAATTAAATTGTCGATGACAATTTCAATTTGAAATTAATACGCGTAAAGTCTCGTAGGATAATCGTTATTAGGCCCGTTATTTTCAAGTGTTTTGTGGCCAACACACAGACTTAGTGATGTCTTCTTATTGATCTCGGTTGAGAGCTTTGCCTTTTTGATAAAGATATCGGCAAGTAATTCGACTCTATGAGCTTATTCCACTGGATTTGAAGCGTAAATTAGTTCTGAAAGCATGAAAATCTGTATAAAAGTCTATTTGAATCGGAAGACGTTGTTAAGGATGTCCCTTTCCTCGTGACAGCAATAAACTAATTCCGTAATAACAGGCCTAAGTTTTTAGAACGTGCCTCATTTCCACCGTACTGAGAACGGTATATTAATATTCCTACAGAAAAAGTAAATTTGGCTAGGAGAGACGGTTTTCGAAATTTCGAAACTTCGAATCACGAAGCCTGACTGTACTTGTAACTCACGCACAGTGCTGGCTAATGAGAGTAGTTTTAAATACGAAATTTTGGTAATGAAAACATCTGAGTCCGTCTACTGAGAGCAGCCTACGTTCGGTTGAACTACGTCTCTACGTTCATGAAGTAAGTGACTCGGAATATGTTCCAGCGACGGGATGTTGTGAAAACGGTCATGAACATTCGACGCCCCTTAGAAATTAAGGTTAATTATTCTACATGACCAGCCGAGCGTCGTCCGCTTACCGAGGAAGTCGGCGGAAGTCGCGCCGAAACCGGATGCAGCCGCCGCGGCGAGGTGGCCGAGGTGAAGTGGATGGTGCAACACCGCGGGTGGAGACAGTAGGTGCTGCTGGAGCGACTGCTGATGCGACGGCCGGGGAGCCAGGATGCTGTCGATCGTGAAGAGGGAGGTCGAGGACGCAGGGCTGGACGACGTCGACGACGCCGACGTCCTGGAAGCGGACGACGTTGCGGGCAGTTGGTGGTGATGCTTCATTGCGGCAGGCAGGGGCTCCGTGTGCTCCGGGCTGTAGCAGGCGCCTAGAAGCATTCTGTCCGTCGGCGGCAGAAACGCGGTATCACGGTGCCCGCTTCAGGACGGGCTCGGCGTGGAACCTCCTCGTCATTCGCGCGGGTGTCACTAGGTTTTGCTAAAATGGTCACATTCTTAAGCGTGCGGGAAATACAGTGCCACTTATCTGAAGTTAACGTTGGCACATTAATCTTGGCTTAAAACTATAAAGAGATACTTGCGACGTACGAAGAACGCGCCGTTCACGCCCCGGAGCAGTTCCTTAAATCACTATAAGATACCACCCCGCACGACAATAACTCACATAACCTGTAATTCACAGGAGTCACGGATATTTATCGACTGCTTAAAAAAATACACGAAACAATTCAGGCCCTACCCTGATTCAGCTTTGCGATTTCCGGCGTTCATTTTACCTCCAAGGCGCGTTGTAATCACAATTATTTTTTAAAAAAAAAAATTTGCAAGAAATTCCGCGTGAAATTTCTTCTGTCTTTGCAAAAACAATGCCTCTGTTGCACTGTTAATCAGTCGCAAGTGTCTTCTGTCCCGGCAACTGGTGGTAATGCAGTGTCTACGTATCGCAGCGTGGTGTCAGCCAGTGCCTATTGGCTACCACCCCTCCCCCTCCCATTCTAGTTCTACCCCCTCTACGCTCACAGCGCGCGCATTTCATGACAGAATACAGTTTGGGCGGGACATCGCCCGACCCCATGGACCTCAGAGCGAGTTAACTCTCCCCCTTTCGCCTTCAGAATGTGATCACTTCACGACGTGTTGGTATGACAGAATAAGATGAATCGGGCTTATTAGCTTTCCGATCGGAATGAACTCTCACGAGGAATTAGCATCTGGGGGCCTCAACGTCTAGGTGCCACGCCCCACTCTTCGTGATTTAACTCAGGCACTTGGGCTTCATCTCTGCTGATCGCTTGTAATTTTCTTTCCGTTTCAAATTACAGGCGTCGTCTCGTCTTGCAACAAAAAAGAACAATTACCCCCTTGAAGAAGGAGGCTAGAAATTCCTCCAGAAGCTCGGCGTCATAACAGAAAATTGCCTAAATTTCTACAGGCCTGATTTCTAGCGTAACTAAGTCAAGGTCAACATGACAGGCTCGCATTCGCGAGGTCTTCGATTCAAATCTCGGTCCTCGAATCGGCATTTTGACTTCAGTCCCTCCAGACAAATTCCGGGTCCTAAATGACGTCACTTCGTTTTGTGTTATTAGACTTTTCAATGATTATCCTATCACACAAAACCATATAGCCTAATGAAAGTACTCACAAGGTAATTAAATAAATAGATTATATCAATTATTTATTTTAATCCGTCTGATCACAATATAATTTTATTTAAAATTTCTTATAATTAAGATAATAAAATATCATTCATGTTCCTTATCTTAAAAAGTAGAGTTACTAAGAAAGAAATTAAAGTTTTCAGTCGTTCGAATCGAAAATATGCCTATTGTTTACAATTGCATCGAGATTTTCTGTCAGCGTATATTTAAATATCGAAATATAAAAACAGAAAATAATCTCGTCTTCATCAGCATTTGCGATACCAGAAAAATTACACTAAGTTAGGTTTAAGAACTGTTCGGATTTTCGACACACCAGAACCGGAGCTGAGAGCCGTATCCCTGCTCCGCGATTAAAGAATTCATTACTTTTCGTTGGGGAGACAATCACAAATGAACCCACGGGGATGAAGACAGACCCCATCAGGGCGTCATGGTAGAACTCCTGACTTCTAAAACCTATCCTGGAGGTATCCGGTTCGAATCTCGTGCAGAGAAAGTGTCGTCCTCCTAAATCCTTGACCATTCACTATTAATGATCACATTTCTATGCTGCTGGACGCTGACCTCTGCACTTGAAACAGCATCGTCAAACACACGTGCATATTAATGTCTGGATGGCCGGCTAGACTCTGCTTTGAGGCTTTCGTGGTGTTTCTCAGTACCTCCAGGTAAATGCTGCGATAGTATCTTAAATTAGACCAATTCATTATTCATTAACCAGGTAGTCAGACGTACTAAACGTGAGTGTAGCTGTTTCTGTAATCCGGGAGGTTCAAACGCCCTCTTCAAATAACAGCCTCCAGGGTTCGTTTGCATTTCGTAGTCTTTTTTTGTACTAACAACATATAGGGAAGGCTTTTTTCAAATTTCTTTTTAATCTGCAGACGTTAAATGTCCCTGGAGCGGCAGTCGAATTGGTTTCGAAAGCGGAAAGCCGCCGCGGTATTTTACGAAAGCCTTAAGACTTAATCCATTCGCTTGCTCGGTTCCACTCTCTCTCTGTCTCTCTCCATTATTTTCCTTTAAAGCAAACTCTTGGCGAGTAACTGGATGAGGGAGAAGTCGGCGCTCTGAGGTTTGTCTTTCGAATAATGAAGCCGGTGAACACACACGCGGTGGGCAATCCCCTCCCTCGACCCCCTCACCCCCCAGCCCTGTTTTATTCTCTTTATTTACCCCCATGAACTAGAATTTGTCCAATTGCCAGGCGCGTCCGAGTTCAAGGGTTGCAAATCTCGCCTGTTGCTTCTCTGAGTTCCTTTCGATGGACAAGTGAGATTTAAGGTTCTGACGCGCGATGATTCTCGAAACTGTTCAACCTTCGTTAAACTCGACAATTAAACTTCACAAATTCCACGCAATTCTATTCATTCGTAATCATCTTGGATTATTCCATATAAAGTCCAACTACATCAGTCTTCGTGTGGATTATTCCTTCTTGGGGGTCTCATCTAGTCAAGAAATTCCACGCCTCTCACAAAGGTCTACCATCGATCTCTGTCCTGAAACAGATAAATCCAACCCACATCCTGTTAATCCTATTTATATCTAAAATCTATGCCTGTTTTACTCCGAATACTTATCAAAGTTCGCTTATTTATTTATTTAGTGTTCTGTCTGACGACAGGTCCATATGAACAGGATCCTTCCATCCTTTTCTCGGACTGGGACCTGTTCATATACGTTCTTGGCAGATGATCCAGAAGTGGTTTGCCATTGCCTTCTTCTGTGTGTGAATGGAGTAATTGTTGGGATGCCACGGAGGAAAACTCCGTGTTGCCTAGACCACGGCCTTGCCCAACACAAGTTATAAATTCGGGCACCGCCGGGAATCGAACCCGAGACCCCAGGATTACAAGGCCAGCGTTATAACCGCTAGACCACCTCATCTTATTATTATTTAGTGTTCTGTCTGACGTACGTACACTAATTTAGCTCAAAAATGAAATAAGTCACACAGAACCTTCACTAAATTATTTTTACTTACGTTTATTTTAGCTGGTTAAGAATTTCACTTCCCCCTTTTAAAATGTAAAAATTTCATCACCGTGTTCACAAAAGCCTTGAAATTGAAGAGTTTGTGCTAAATTATTAATCTGTCTCGATTCTACAAATCTTAGTAATATTTGTCTTAGCACAAATTTTAATATTATCCTTCGACCTATACACTGCAGAATCTTAACAAATTCGTCCGCTCTACTAAGAATTTGTATATAAAAATTATGGCGAGGTTTTAATTGCCGTCTTGCGTTCTGTACGTGTTGCCCATCGCATCCTGATGGTTCAATCAGCTAATGACCCCCGTATTTTTGTATGTAATTTTCCGTTATGACGCCGAAATGAAGATAAACGATACAGTTATCCTGCCATTAAGGCCGATGTGTGGTTTGGCTGGTCCACAGTCACCCCGTTTATAAAAGTACAAGAGAATTTCCATATGAATGGTTGGCTCTCATTCGCATTATATTGGGGGGGGGGGCCCCGGGGGGGGGGGCAGAGAGACTGCCCCTCCAATGATCCTCCCTCTGGGACTGTTGAAGATCCACTAACCAATAAACGAGATTTGAATTCTAGCTCACAGTTCTATTGGCTTAGAGGCGTGGCGTAACATCAGCTGGATGTTTCATACTTACGCGACCTGTGGATACAGCAACCCATCCTGCAAGCACGCCACTTGGGTCACATAACACGGCAGGGGACAGTGTCACTGCAGCTCCAGCGCTGTTCTTCTCTCTTTCCGTGTAAATGTGGTCTTGGCGTCGTCTTGTAGGTGATTACACGTGTTACGGAGGGACGTTTTAACACCGCGTTCAGTGTAGAAATGCCCCTTAGAGGCGATGCTTTCCTCCGAAGAGTCTGTAATCACAGCGACACAAATCTGAAGATCTCAATTTACGTTTTGACAGGAGCTGAAACGTGACATCTCATAGGTCGACTCATCACTGAGTGAATTTGTTTTTGCAGAAATCTGAGTTGGACCAACACAGTGTTCAGTTAGCTAAGAGGTTACGCCCTAGGACTAAATTGTGTACATCAGAAGTAATTATTTTCAATTAAACTGTTACGTCGTTAGACACAGAAGCCTAATTGTATTGATAGCGTGGGGTTAATTTGGGCAATGACCTAGTTTTTCGTACTTTTTAATGTGAATAAGATATTTCATTGGCTACGTAGCTACTTCTATTAATATTATTCTCTGTTATCTAGACTCTAGTCTTCATAGACGACTGTTGTGGGATGTAGCCACAATGTACAGATGATTTGAAGCTGTCTCGGCTAAGTAACTCAAATTATCTCGGTTGATAGGCCGATCCAGATGGTTAAACGATGAAACCGACGTTTCAGGGACCATCTCTGTCCCCATCATCAGGGTTCAGAAAATTTTATTAAGTCCTTCTACAGAATTCGATACATTGCAAAAAGCACGGATGTCATAATGAATTTATAATGAAACATTTCTCCATTCATCTGACTTAAGTTCTGCAACCATTCCAACTTCCTTGTACCTAAAAATTCTGAACATTCTTCGTCAAAGCGTGGTTAACGTTGCTTTGACTCATAATGACAGAGACTCTGATATCATCCATGACAGGCCATTTTCCAAAGCTCCGTCGATGTCCACATTATCATCAAAGTCTCCCGAACTTCTAACATTTTTCAAGATTTTGACTGGGTCAAAATATCTGCTTCTGGGTTGTTGCTCCGTTTAGTCTGGTAGGAATTTATCGTAGTTTCTGCCCTGCGATCGCCCTGATGATGGAGGCAGCAAGGACCTCTGAAACGTTGGTAAACTTCTACCAGGTTACACGGCTCAGCAACCCAGAAGACAGCAATCTTCAGACTCACGGCCGCGAAAAGCTCAAATCCTACATTTTTGTGCGTGTCTCAGCGAGAACCTGAAATTACACCAAATTTTGTCGATGTTCGCAATAACGCTGGTGCTGATATCTGGTGGCAGTCTTTGGAAATATAGGCCTATGCATGTCAGCCATTTTGCTTAATATCGGACTTGTTCCCCATTACTTTGAAGCCCCTTTAAACTTCTAAAAATCCTTCAGGATCCCAGTTCATCTAAAGCAGTGATATTCAACTTGGGGTACGCGAAAACATCTTAAGGGGTACGCGAAATTTAAAAAAATATATTATTTTATGATAAACACTGAATAATCAGTAATGTAATTTATTTAATTTATTTTATATGTAGATTATATACTACGTATAACT